GCGTGCCTAAACAAACACCACACGTGAACATAAAAGCATATAAATGCATTTGTTTGATATCACTTCTCCTCCTCTACTATCTTGGGTAATCTTAGCTTCCTAATGGGCTCGGTGGTTCCTATAGCAACCCCGCTACCCTCAGTTTCAGATGAGGGGTCTCCGGTGCCTCTGTGGTTTTGCAGAGTGTTGTTAGAACAATGGGGAATGCCACCGGCAAAGCTCAATACGCCCCCTACTGTGACGGTCTGGCTGGCACACAACGGGGGATTACAGATAATTGAAGCCTTAGCATAGAGACATCTGAATGGGTTTGAATGATTTTTGTTTTATTTTGTTGCTGTTGTTTATTCAATACACCTACAAATGTATCATTAGGGAATTGGATAGCAGTGACCTTACAGCTACATTAATTTGTATCCCTGTGAAAAACAATCCAAGGCCTTTGCATGTCGCTCTTTTTTCAGCCTTTTTTGTTGCTCTCCACCTATAGCAGTATTTCCAGACACTAGCTATCCATTTCCATCGGCTTATCCAGCGTCGCTGGGGGATGGAGCCTGCCCCAGCTGTCATAGGGCGAGAGGCAGGTTACACCCGGGACAAGTCATCAGTCTATTTATTGCAGGGCTAACAGAGAGGGATGGACAACCTCTGACGCTCACATTCACACCTTCACTCCAATTTAGGATCAACAGTTACCCTAACACGCATGTTTTGGACTGTGTGAAGAGGCTGGGGTACCACTACAGGCAGGGAGAACATGCAAACAGAAAGGCCACATCCAGCCAGTGAATTTGAACCCAGGACCCACTTGCTCTCAGACAACAGTTCAACACTGTAACTCAATTAAAAATACAAAGTATAAAATAGAGTGCAAATAAATTAAACCTTAATTTTTTGTTGAATACTTTAACAAAATGTTTTAATGGGTGTCAGGTCTAAGCTTCAAGCATGCTGGAGTACACACCCTGGACCAGTCGCCAGCCTGTCATTGGCAATTTAAAATCACCAATTGACCTACCACCCCTAACTGCATGTCTTTGGACTGTGGAAGCCAGAGTATCCGGAGAGAACCCACACAGACACGGATGAAAAATTACACACAGAAAGGCCCTGAGTGGATGATGAATTCAAACCCAGGACCTCCTTGCTGTGAGGGAACAGTGATAACAGTGCTGCCCAAACCAAAACTCCAGGAATCAAAATAAACCATCGCCACATAACCCAGAATACAAAGATACAAAAGTTAAACTAAACTCAAAGGCATATTAAGAAAAGAAGAGACCCAGAGGCTCTAAATCAAAGACTCAAAACATCAAAACTCAGATTACAACCAAAACAGAGCCAGAATTTAGAGTCCAAACACACCCAGGATCAGAGACCACGACAATGACAATAGAAATCTTACACATCTGACAGATGCATGAGAACAAAAAAATACAAAATAAAGTCAAACATAAGGGCTTAAGAAGACGCTGCTGCAGTTAATAGACTGAAAATATTGGAAATACGGGAAATATTGTGCCACGAACTACATAAAGCTGCAGGGAGGGATGCTGATTCTCAGTGGGACTGTCAGACACAGCAGACACCTTCTCAGGGATTTTTTAAATGAATTACTACATTTATTACATTTAGAGTGATAGTTATAGCTTGCCTTCAAGACTTTGAAAAGGACAAAATTATTGACCGCCTTACATATCACCGCCTTTACCCAGGGGATGCCATACCCTGCATCTATGGACTTCCTAAGATCCACAAGGAAGCTGTCCCACTCAGACCCATAGTCAGTAGCATAAACTCAGCCACTTACAACATTGCTAAACACCTTGCTACCATCCTCGCGCCTCTCGTGGGGAACACCCCACACCACATCAAGAACTCCAC